CAGCAAGATTGTCTTCAGTGTAAAGAAAGCTAACTAGAATATTTTTTACAATACTTGTAAGCAGTCGATTGATGAGTTGTTCGCAGTCTATTGAGTGCTGTACGGATAAGCATGTATTAAACTCTCAACTAGAAAATTTTGGCCTGATTCTCTATAACGCATCCAAGGCTTCTATGCCTCTAAAAAAACCAAGAGTTCATAAGGTACCTTGGTGGGCTACTCAAATCGAATGTATGAGAAAGGAAGTTAACGCTGCTAGACGTAGGTTTCAACAAAATTGTAACCCTACTCTTAGAAAGTTATATAAACAAAAATATCTTCACTTAAGGACATAATTACAGCTTAAAGCTCTAGGATGCAAAGCTTAATTCTTGAAGAGAAATCCTCATGAGTATAAATGAAAGGAATGTTTGGAAAAAAATATATGCGAATGGTATAAAAAAAAAATTTTATGAAAGGAATGGAAGTCAGAGGAATTTATCTCCCGTCTGGTAATTGTACAAAGTCGCTAGAAGAAACTACTAATGAGGTTCTTAACAGAAGCTTTCCCACGGACCATTTTAGCACAGATAATTCGTTTCATAGAATGATTAGGGCTGAGCTTCGTTAAATTATGTGGCTAATCCAGATCCTCCATTTACTATGTCAGAAATTAATACTGTTATAGAAAAACTTAAATGCAATAAAGCTCCTGGTCTTGATTCTATTTCAAACGAAATTGAAGCAAGTTCATAGAATTTTCCGATTTACTCTCCAAAAGCGTCAATACTGTCTGAGGCTTGGTTCATTTCCTCGTTGCTGGAAAACAGCGATTGTCGTTTTAATCCCTAAGAATAGTGGTCCTCGTATCCCGCATTTAGATAACTTGAGATGCATTAGTCTTCTTCCCAGTTAGGAAAATGGCCGAAAAGCTGTTTGTTAATAGAATTACCTGGTTTTGCATAATAAAAAACTTCTAAATACAGGACAGTTTGGTTTTACCCCTCATAAGAGTTGTGAAGATGCTCCTTTGTACTTAAAAGACATAGTGGACGAAGGAGAAGAGAAATTTACGCAGTTTTAGTGTTTCTTGATATCAAAGGTGCTTTCGACCACGCCTGGTGGCCTGGGATACTTGTTTTTTAAGGAAAGCTGGTTTCGTGTACGATTTACCACCTTATTAAGATTTCTGCATGAAGATCTGCATTGCTCTCCCTTGGCCCACGTTTCTTTCTCCGCATTTTGGAAAGAAGTTGCCCTCAGGCTCGGTTTCCGGACCTTTATTGTGGAATTTAATTATGATGATCTACTCAATAGACTCTCACATTGACCGAGTTGTAAACAATTGCTTTGCTGATGATCTACTAATTTGCTTCAAGAGAAGTGTCCATTACTCTCTTTAATACGGCTCAGAATACCCTTAATATTATTTCCAATTGTCCAGAGAACAGAAATTGGAATTCAATCCTAATAAATCTAAAATTATGATAATTAAAGAAAGCATGTCGCTATACAAACCAACAACGTACTTGGATAATACTTACTCGAAACGGTGAATGAAATTAATATTAGGCGTTATTCTTGATCATAAGTTTTGTTGGAAAAATCATCTTATGTATTTATCCAATAAGTGTGAAAATACTTAGAGACTTAATCGTGTCTCTTGCAATACTTTTGGTTTAAAATCTAATGTTATTGATATGATTTATAAGCAGGGTATTGTCCCTTTATTTGCTATGCTTCTAGGTGTAGGGAAGCTTTAGAAAAGAAGATTAATTCTCGTATACTTCGCAGAATTCAAAGAAGAATTTACTAAGAGTTGTGCGTGGCTACAGAACAATTATCTATGAAGCCTGTTTCGCAATTTCAGGATTTCCTCCGATTGACCTTCATGTTTTTGAATGACAAAAAGTTTAAAGATACCACCATCAGCAAATTTATGTTCGATACCAAGGTGTTGTTTGAAGATCTTCCTCATCCTGCCAATCGTTTGCCAATGCAAACTATCATTATGACAATTCTGTTGATGATAATTTCCCTCTTGTGTGTTATACAGATGGAAGTAAAATTAATAATCGAGTTGGATTAGCATATGTCGTTTTCCATCATGGTTCTGAACTGGAATACAAACTCCTTAGAATTCCGAATGAATGCAGTGTTTTCCAAGCCGAATTACTGTGCATTAGTGAGTCAATTAAGTGGATATCTAACAACTGTTCGCTATGTGCTAAATTTCTTATTCTCACTGATTCTCTTTCATCCTTATATTCTCTTGGGAATATCTTCTCATATAATAAATTAATTGTCACTTCCCATTCTCTTCTTAAAGACCTTAATAATAAAGGTGTTGATGTTATCTTTTTTCATGTACGTGGCACACTGGCAATCTAGGAAATGAAAGGGCTGATTGGTTGGCAAAACAAGCTACACATTTCAAGTAATTACTCCAATGATACTTCCCAAGTCATTTTATAAGAACAAAAGTAAGGGATGATACATACTCGAGTGGAATGAACTATACAGGAATTCTACTACTGCCTCTTTGACTAAACTTTATTTTCCTTCCATTCCTCACAAACTGAATAATAAAACACTTTTTTTGCATTTGAAGTTACTCAATTTCTAACTGGACATGGTAAATTCAATTCATATCTGAAGAGATTTAGATATCTAGTACAGACTTGTGTTCATGCAGTTTCGGGGGAGAGCAAAATGTCGAACATTTGTTGTTCTATTGTTCAAAGCTCAAGGAAGGACGAAAAGAACTCATTTCTAGGTTAAACTCTGTGAATATTACATTTTCTCCCCCTCTTCACGTATTTGTCAAACATAAAATGGCTTTCTCTTTCTTCTGTAAATTTATCTCTTACGTATCATCTGTGAATTTGTAAGTTTATTTTATTTTGTGTTGTGTTGTGTTGTTGTATTTGTTTGCTTTTTTACTTACCTCTGTAAGCCTTGTGTAATACTGTGCGGTGCACAAAAATTTAACATTAAAAAAAAATCACTACATCAGTCATTACTTCTACATGGAAAGAAGACTCGAAATGAATACCCCCCCCCGAAAAAAAGGTATATACTGTTTCTAGCGTTTCTAAACGTGATATCGTTGCTGACGAGAGAAAGTCCGGCGACGTAGAAATCAGTTCCAAAATCTAAATATATCTGTAGCAACAATAAATAAAAAAATGAACCAAGATTTAACAATTGAAATGAGCTTGAAAAGCTTGATGTTCACTAGCTTTTACTTTTGATGAAGCAAAGTACGGAATATTAAATTATATGCATTTCTTCCTGCATTTCATTTAATTATTTAACACTTATTTCCGCGAAATTCATTAGAAATAGATTTCTCATTCAATTCATTCAGTTCTCACTTCGTCGCAAGGAAAAAATATATAAAACTCAAAACATCTTAATTAAAAATTGAAAGATACTGAAAAGCGCAAAAAACCAAATACAGTCAAAACAATTTTAAACAATTTTAAAATTAATATTACAGTTTATACGCAAAAACAAGAAATTCGGCCATCGGGATAGAAGACGGATTTTTCGAAGCACAAAACTAAAAGTTTCCTTTTGGTCCCACTCGGCAAAAACACACTAAAGGTGCAGAAAAACTTAAGTATTCTGCTAAGTTTCAAATGTAAATAAATGTGTCTGCTATGGTAAAAAAATTAGTCTTACCCGCACTTAAACATCTTTTAAATTGTCGACAATTCTACAACTATTGCATGCAGATTAACTAAAGGTATAAAAACCTTAACCGAAATATAAGAAAACCATAATTTAATCATTTTTATAGCATAAAATGAACAATTTACCAACATATAAGAATAAAAAAAAAACTGAGCTCACTGAGGGAAGTAACAGATTGGGTTATATATATATATATATATATATATATATAACTATATATACTTTTGGTGCAGCTGATTGCAACCAAAGTGGGAGATCCGCCACTACTTGTTAGAGCAGTCTTATACACAAAATTTCAATGTTCTCAGGCTACTCGTTTTTGAAGTTATGCGAGACACATACATACGTACAGACGCCACGAAAAAAGGTCCTTTTTGAATCCATTTTAAATCAGTTTTACAAATCGTTTGGGGTAAAAGAGTTCTTTATTCTGTCCTCATCTACAAATGTCAGGCAAAAACATTGTTAAATTGCATTTGATAGCGGTCAAAATGAATGTTTTCGTTGAAATATGATACTTGGAATTTTTCGTGATTACAATGCGTCCTTTACTACGTACAAGGAAGTAAAAATGTACAAACCTGGTTCAATTAATTTTAGAAAGTTTCAATAAGCGGATCACGATTTTTGCAGAATTCTCTTACAATGGAATATGAAAAATAAGAAGAGTGGAAAAAAAGTTAAAATCAAATAAATATGCTCTCAAGCGAACATTTTACTTCCGATATTTATAGAAGAAATTCCATTTCCTTATACCAAATAACTTTCAAAAAGTTAAACTTCATCAATACAAAGCAACAAGTTACACTTCTAAAAGTACTGTAAATATACATTTTCAAAGTATTCCCGGGAGGTGCTCAGACGTTTCGTCTATGAACGAACAATTGCGGCTTTGGTCTCTTGAAAAGAGCTCTTTCTAAGGGCGAACCCACCACGATGGATATACACTGGAAAGTAGGTAGAAGAGGAATGGACATCAGTACCATTTGAAATTTTACGAAAAGCCCTTCTATGATGCAAATCACGATGCAAACTTATAGTTAAAAAAAAAAAAAAAAGGTATTAGATCCAACATTTAAAAATGACTGTTTATAGTTTAAACATTAATTAAAAGGCCCCAAAATCGTTCTAAAAATGTGTAAAAACACTCAATCATGTCACAGGTTGTAAGAGGCAGGGATTAAATACGGCATTATAAAATATAAATTAATGAAAAGAACATTTCTATGTACAATTTGTAAAACAGAAATCTGCATAAATAAAAAGATATTCATGGATATTTGTAAACACTTTCTGTCAATATAAATAAATGGATTCTTTACCTACTCCCTTTATTTCCATTAATTTTTTTATGCTTTCGTCTCGGGCAGCCAAAGTTTGCTTCTGTGTTTCTATTCTAAGCTCTAGTTCCTGGAAAACAAAATAAACAATATTTACAATCAAAAATGCTAAATCAAAACCGCCTTACACAGTTTTCTTTCAAAGTTATAATTCAGTAATTAAAAAAATTGATATCATTAGATACACATTTTATAATGAAGAATAATGGTAAGAACTCAGAAAAATTTGAAAGCAACGCAGAAATTAAGGATCATTGTTGTCAAATAACGGTGATGAGGAAACTCCACACACACTTCTAAAGCATTTGAAGGATCATTTTGCTTAGCTAATGTCGCTTTTCACACACAAAAAAAAAAATAGTTCTGCTTTAAATGTCTCGTTCTCTTTCCTAAGAATATATATGAGTATTAAATAACACGAAACAGATTCTTGAAACTCAGTACTACTATGTTTCCCAATATAAGATAAAGTTTCAGGCAAATTTAGACATTATGAAATATATCCTTTAAATACCCGGATCTCTATGCTAACAAAAAATACCTGAAAATTGTCCGGCGTACTAATATGCGATCTACCGCTTTTTTACTTCCTTGTACGGAGGAATTCTATTGCTATCGCGAAAAATTTCATGTATCATATTTCAACCAAAATATCGAATTTTAATGCTATTTTTAATGCTAATTTGAACCATGTTTTTGTGCTAAATTTGTAAGTACGGACGGTATAAAGGATTCTTGGATCGTAAAACTGGGTCGTAAAATGGATTTAAAATGGATGCGGAAGAGAATTTTGCCTTTTATACGTACGTATGGCCCATTAAATTATGCACATATTTCTTCGAATTTTATCAGAGATATATTTCTAATTCAATCAGTTCAGTTTCACTTCCCCACAAAGGGAAAATACGTAAACATCTTAAGACCACTGGCTACTTTAGGCACAGTAGCACTTAAACAAGTTTTTAGTTGTTGATAATTCTACAACTATTGCATGCAGATTAACTAAAGGCATATAAACCTTATCCGAAACATAAGGACAACATAATTCAATCACTTTTAAAGAAAAAAAAATGCAAAATTTACTAACTTATAAGAATAAAAATACTGACCTCACTCAGACGGGTAACACAGAAATATATCTATATTTTTATTTATATACGTCTTGTGCAGCCGATTGCAACCAAAAAGAGTGGTACACAACTACATGTTATAGCAGTTTAGCAATCAGATACATAAAATTTCAACGTTTTAAGGCTACTCGTTTTTGAGTTATGCGAGATATATAAATAAGTACAGGCAATCATGAACAGATCTCTTCTGAATCCATTTTAAACCCATTTTACAATCCGTGTTGGGGAAAAAAAAAAAAAAAAAAAAAAAAGAGAGTCCTTTATTCTGCCCTTACGTACAGATATCAAGCAAAAACATCGTGCAGATGCATTTGAAGAGCGGTCAAAATGAATACTTTCGTTGAAGTATCATATCTAAAATATTTCGCGATTATAGTACTTCTTTATTTCCTACAAGAAAGTAACAAAATGCGACAGTTCTGTATTTCCCGATCTCTTGGGCCGATCGATGAAATTTAACTTGAGTTTCTCATTCCACGAAAGAGCGACTCATATATAGTATATTATAGCGCGTATAATAGATTTATGTATATAGCATTATTCTAACATAGGTATTAAGACACAAAACTGGACTTTTTCTGAAATCGCATACCGATTTTTATTTTCATATTTTGATTCTACGACTCAAATTAAGCCAAAATGTTTCCCAGTTGGAAATTTAGATTCAATCCAAATAAAATGCGGAAATATTTTCATTTTTATTTTTTAAATTTTTATTTTTTAATAATTTCAATAAACTTTTCGAAACATTTTTGAATAACCAATGAAATTTTTACCACCATCTTAAAGCGGATGTATTTCTAAGCATACCTGTAAAATATTTGAGTATTTTAATCAAAATGTTTTAAAATATTTTGAATTTATATATTAGCGCATTTTGAAATTTGGCATCTTTGCTTTAAGCAATAATAACGCCAAATGTGGTTTACAGATCTAAAAATAATAGCTATAATTAACAAATATAATAAAGAAAATTATCTGAAAATTGAACGATGCACCTTTTTTCAAGTCCTGCATAATGAAAGGGAAAGGAAAGTAGGTTACTAGATTAAGAATTTCGCCAAGTGATTTCATCTTGGCACAAATTGAAATCAGTGCGCCAAGATAAATTTTTGAATTCCTCAGTAGGTTTCTCATCAGATCTTAAGAGTTTAGCATTTAGGTGTAATTTGAATCGTAGAATTGAAATATGGAAAAAATATCAGTGTGTAGTTTCAGAAAAAGCTAAATTTTGTTTTAAAATACCTATGTTAGAACAATGCTATATACAAATCTAATATATAACGCGCGCTTTCGAGACATAAAAAACGTAAGTTAAATTTTGTGAATCGGCCCAATAAAACGCAAAACTTTGAAGTACTTTTTCTGGGGGCAGAGTGTACGCGGTTTTGTACACTGCGGGAAAAAAAAAAAAAGGACAGTTCTGTATCTCTCGTTCAGCTGGGCCGATTGACAAAATGCAACTTGCGTTTTTCATGTCTCTAAAGCGCGACTTAGGATATGTATTAGATTTATATATAGCCTTGTTTTAATATAGGTATTTTGCCACAAAACCGGATTTTTTCTGAAATGACATGCCGATTGTTTTCCATATTATTCGAAATTTAGATTTAATCCAAATATAACTGGCACATTTTTTATTATTTATTTTATTGTATTTTTAAATATTTTTTATAAATTTTTTCGAAAACATTTTTGTATTGTAACCTAAAAATTTTTAAACATCATCTCAAAGTAGATGTATTTCTAAGCATATCTGCAAAAAATTAGAGTGCTTTATTCGAAATTTCCTAAGATATACGTGAATTTACATTTTGGCGCGTTTTGAAATTTTCATCTTTATTTTTTAAGCGATAATAACGCCAAATGTGATTTACGCACTTTGTTAACACTGTTTGAAAGTATGAACGAAGACTTCCCGCTCGTCAACAATAAAAAAAAAAGAAATGGAAAATAGGTTCCAATGCACAAGTTCGCCAAGTCAGTTATTCTTGACGAAAACTAAAAAAAAATACACCTAGATCAAATTTTGAATTTCTCCGTAAATTTCGCACCAAATTTTAAACTTTAATATTTAGGCATAATTTGAGTCTTAGGATCGAAATATGGGAAAAAAATTGGCTTGTCATTTCAGAAAAAGTCGGAGTTTGTGTCAAATTACCTATGTTAGAATAATGCATTATATAAATCTAATATATATCCTAAGTCGCGCTTTCGAGACATGAAAAACGCAAGTGGAGTTTCGTCAATCGGTTCAGTAGAACGGGAGGTACAAAACTTCCCCCTCCCTTTTTTTTTGCGCAAAAATTAATATAAATGGCACACGCAAAAAACTGAGAGACAGTAAAAAACAAGGAAATTTAATTTGTAAATTCTGCTAAATATTTATTAATTACCTTAATAGTTTCCCTAAGAAGAAATATTTCTTTCGTCATATGTTCTTTCTCATTATACAGAGCTTCGAGATGTTGCTGGACTTCTGCATCCGGATTCCTCATGTGGGCAAGCCTCAGTTCTTCCTCTAGCTGTCTTATCACTGCAGACTGTTTCTGAAACAAATTTGAATGGGATCACGCTCCAAGAACAGCACACATCACTCTTTAAAATCATAAATTACGGTTTCAAAATTATTATTTTATATCTATTTTTTCCTTCTTAAGAAGCATAAACATGCATAATTAAAGGCAAAAAGAAAATAGGATATTTCTTAAGAAAATGATGCTGTCAATAATAAAAAAAAATGCTTCGTTTTATTTTAAGAAACTGGTCTATGCGGCCAACTACTAAAGATGTTACTGAAGTATGCATATGTACTCCAATATTATGAAGAAATTTGGTGAAACAAAATCATGAATCATTATAACTAACCGTTTATAAAAATAGGAGAAATACATATTGATTTTAATGACTCCAGCTAGTGTCCTTTCATAAAAATATTCAGTATTTTAAATTAGACATATCCTAATTTAAACTCATTTCTATTTAAATCAATCCGATTAAATAGTAGAAAAAATATTCTTAAGAACTGCGTTTTTTGCTTTTAAATCGCTTAATTTGTTACTCATTAACAGACAGATTAAATTTGAAAGTTAAATATCTTTCGTTTTATAGGATGGAAAAACAGCGTGAAAGATGACAGTACTTTATTTCGGGCAGTCGCAATACACTGCTTTTTAATAGCTGAGTTTGTTAGTTAAAACTTATCTTGCATTTTGCTGAGCTGTCTGGTAAGATGAAGATAGAAATGTTTTACTTCGAAAAGTGTTGCCATTGCTCGCTTCCAGATCGCTGAGTTAATAACTCAAAAATTCATCAGATCAGTCAATCAAAACATGAAATAAAAAAAAAAATTCGAAATTCGGACTTCAAGGTGCACATGTTCGAGTGGAGGGCAGCCTGTATTCAAAATTGGGTGGATTCTAGGTGTCATCGTTTTTCCACAATGAGAGGAACATACGAATTCATGTTTTTAAAGATGGTAAAGGTATTCGAAATGTCTAACACTATCCTTTATGTAAAGCGTTTAATTATCTTTAATGCTATGAAATGATGAAAATTGTGCAGAATTTTGAAAATGCACTAAAGTCTAGAACACATTACAAGCTAAAACAGAAGAATCGCACATATCATAAAACGTTCAGAAAAGATTTAGAACTGCGATTTCCAATAAAAGTTAATTAAGCTTTTAGAAAAGCCATTTAGGGCCCTGGATACAATGGCGGACAGCACGAAGACAAGATAACAAGGAAAATACGCTTCGTGTTTGTAAAGTATTATTAAGGAAAGTTTTATCATACTGGAACAATGTTGCATTCTGGCAGGAAAATGAAATAAAGTTTTGATAGAAAAGATACTTTAACTTAAAATAAGTGATTCAGAAGTCAAACAACAAAAACCAGCGTTATATTTTCAAATTTTCACAAGACTAGTTTCGATGGTTTCATGCTCAGATCCGCAAATGGATAATGCGCTTTTGCAACTGAGGATGATGGTTCGGTAAAATAATAATAATAATATAATAATAAAATAATAATAATAATAATAATAATAATAATAATAATAATAAATAATAATAAATAATAATAATAATAAAATAAATAATATAATAATAAAATAAAATAATAATAATAATAAATAATAATAATAATAAAATAAATATAACGCTGATTTTCGTTGTTTGACTTCTGAATTAGTATTTGTTCGGCGTGTTATTGTGTCTTAATTAAAATAACTGGTTAGAAAATTAAATGATACTCTACGTGGTTATTATACAACTGTCTTGAAGTTATCACATCTTTTCTGCGTTCTTCGGACTTAAATTCTTTTGAATTTATATGGAGTAAATTGGAGAAAAGAATAAGAAAACATGATATTCTTTTGTAAGCTTTACCTAAAAGAATTTCTTACGTAAGAAACTAGCTGAGTCCATGTTAAAAGAGCATGAAAAGTATAATTTTAGTACATCCAACGAAACATTGAATGCCCCGTTATTTTCATTTTTTTATTAAATATAAACTGTGTATTCAAAGTATCTGAATACTTATGAGAATTAATTTTCAGAAGGTTTTAAATAAATAAATTTTTTTACCAAAAACATTTATCTGATGTAGACACCACGTGAATTCTTTGAACGGCCTAATAAAATATAACACTATTTTTACTGCACCTCCTTAAAACTTATTTCCTCGAATTTGCTTAGATATATATTTCTCATTCAATCAATTTAGTTCTCACTTCGTGGTAACACCAAAATACATAAAAACTTTAAACATCTTCAATAAAAATTGTAAAATATAGAAAAACTTAAAACACCAAATACAATAACAAAAATTTTACAATTTTTACAATTAAAATTAGAGTGTGTATGCAAAAACAAGCAATTCAGCCAAAGGACAAGAAGACAAAATTTTCGGTGAACAAAACTGAAAGTTAACTTTTGGTCGCACGGTGTAAAAAGACACTGGAGTTGGTGCACCAACAGGTAAAAGTTTCATATGCAAGCCAATGGTGGCCTCGTTAGGCCTAGCGCCACTTTTAAATTGTTGCTAATTCTACATTTATTATGTGAGGATTAACTAAGGTATAAAAACATCAACCCAAACTCAACGCCTCCTAATTCAATCAATTTTAATGCAATGCTCAATTTATCAGCATATAAGAATAAAAACACAGAGCTCACTCAGCTGGGTAAGAAGGGAGATATATATAGATAGAGATATACGAGATATGCGTATACGTTTGGTGTGGCCGACTGCAAAAAAAAAAAAAAAAAAAAAAAGAGAGAGAGAAGGTACACAACTGCCCGTTTTAGCTGTTTCATTTTTGAGTTATGCGAGATACATACGTACGTACAGATGTCACGAAAAAAAAAAATGCGCTCTAAAATCATTTTAATACTTTATTTCGTACAAAACGTAAGAAAGCAAGTTTTAAACTAGATAATCAACAGTATGTGCAAAGAAAAATAAAGTGATTTTGCTTATATTTGGTTACTGGGAAATAAAATGAAAAACAGAAATGTCCATAACAAACAAGAACCACTGTACGGATTCTTTATTATTTAATAATAGAGATAAATAACATAGCATACTGGAGTAGATTTTTAAGCTACTCGGAATACTGTTTTAATTTTAAAAAATGGCAAATTAATGGATTTGGCAGTAAGCAGAAGAATTATCATTAAAACCAGTTCAGCTTCCTCCTTTTCTAAACTACGGAAAAGCGCAGTTCCTGCAAATTCTTTCTTCTAAGACTAGATTTATTTGAGAGAAATGCAAGTTTCTAGTAACGGCAGTTCATAAATACAAAAATGCATTTAAGAAAATGCGTTAACACTGTTTATGTCAAGATTTCGGGAGCTTGCATTGTTTATGTCAGTAATTTTCTTCTTGAAATACTGCATTTGCACATTTTAGGTCGTAGTAAGTTTTCTAAATCGTAGTTTTGTGCGTTTCCAGAATTCCATTATTTTAAAGAACAAATGAATATCAAAATTGGAAATAGGAAAACTTTTGTTTAAGAAAAATATTAATAATAATGATATTGTCTTCATAAAAAGGGTTAATGCAGTTATTACAAGACTTTCTTATCTACCAGTAAAAAATAAGCAACAGTATTTACATGAAATATAGTAGTTTTTCGCGTTGCTTTTACAAGAATGTAAATAACTCCACGACATCTATAAATTAGATGAAATTTTTGTTTCATACTATTATAATCTTTATATTGTTATAAATCTGATATAAAATCAACCGTCTCTTGGCGACCATTTCCCTAATACGACCACCTTCGGAATGGCCAGAATTATAGAAACATCACCTCAGTTAGGCGATCACGTCCACAAAAGACCAAAATTAATCATTCGGAACTGTGGGTAGTCGTGCTGGAGAGGGTTCACTGTTGTTTCCGATTTATATAGGGTTAAGAATTTGTGTAAATACATATACTTTTACTTTTATTTACGCGCATAATTATATTTTGGCGCTCGTGTAGAATGGGATTTATAGCTTTAATTAATTTCTTCTTAGCAAAATTTAAGTTATATGCATTATTGTTTTTCTCTCCATGTAGACAGCGACCGGTTGTCACTAAAAAAAAATCTAAGAGTTGCACAAACTCAGAATCGCACACAGTCTCGTCACCGCGCACAGTAAATATGATATTCTTTTTAATTTTGCTTTCAAATTAATTTATTTGAATTAGTTCATTTGGATTTAGGCATTTTGCTTTTTTTAATATTTTTAAATTTATATTTAATTTATTCCTTTCCTACTCTAGGCCGTCCATTTTAGACTATTTTGGGAATGAGGCTCTTCGCAGTGGCCGTTTCACCGTCAAGACATATTTTTCTTCGCACGACTGTATTATATCTTGTCGTGTTATATTAAGTTGATTTAAATTCATAACACACACACAAGAATGTTATTTTAGGGTTTCGACAAAATTTGGAGTAAAAACGCCCTTCCGATTGCCAAATTCGCGGAATTAGGAATCAAATTTTTTTTCTTTTTTTTAAAGTTATTTAAAGCTGTGCTCCTGAAGTGAATATCGAAGGCTTTAGTGAATCGCATTTGCTTTAGTTGAAATGCAGTTGATTTAGTGTTTCTTTTAGTAGCAAACATGGCTCATGCCCAACGAAACAATATAGCGCTGGTTTCTTTTTGAGTGGTATTAAAAATGCGCGTTATACGCCGGAATCTACGGTAATTCAAATGTCCTCGCATAAAATCGAGTCAGGAGCCGCAAGTGGTCAACGGACCGCCAGTTTGAGAATACGGCTCTAGCGCTTTGTTATATGCAGCAAACATATTGTGCCATTAATAAAGCACAACTTTATTAGAAATTGCTTGAAATATTTCAGAGGAATCCATTACCAAAATACAAGAATAAATCCCCCTCATCATGTCCCAAAAGGAAGTAAATCAGCTTCATTCATTTATAATGTTTAATGTCTGCTTTGGTATACCGAATTCCATTCCAATTCATCCGATAAGCATTCAGCTGAAGAAGAGACGGGCGCCAAGTGTCCTAATTTCCACGATACTGA